GTTGAACACATACAGTATTGCAAGCATGAACCTGTGCTGACTTCAGTCTTCAACACTGACAGATTTTTAGGTGCTTTTCACACTGTAGATTGAGTGAAGAATGCCTTATGGGCTCATCCATGACTGTCTGCTTGCACATAGCACTTTTTGTAGGAATTTAGGTAACTCATTTGAGCCAAAGTAATTTTTTAACACAGTGTTAGGACACTGGGGATCATGGTCATTGTTGAAACACATTGCAGCAGTAGAAACTGAGACACATCGTTGCAGCAGTGGGAACCAAGACTGATGGTGTCTCACATCAGTGACTTTGGTTACCATTATTGTGCTATTTCTTTCACTGAAGTTGTCTTCTGCTGATGGTGTATGCATAATTATTGATTTGTACACATCTCAGTTGCATTTACAAATTATTGCTGTCAGGTCCCCTTTCACCCTAGCATATATGTTACCCTGTTTGAAATTTGTGTTTTGCTGTCAGATCCCTCCAGCATGATTCTGTTTTTGAAGTCTTACATTTGCTTGTTCATGAGTGCACTTCATCAAAAAGTCTGGTGAGGAGAAGTCAGCCTTTTAAAGCTTGTAACATATCCCTTCTACACTTTTGATGATTTTGCACTGTCTCATGTGCTGCTAGTTATTTGTGTTGTATAGTGCCTCTCCTTTCCCATATATGCGTTCATATCATAAGTTAGCCATTTGCACAGTTTGTAAATATTTATGCAAAAGTATTTATGTTCTTAGGAATATAATGCATGTAAATTACTCTCCCTTTGAAGAACTAAATCACTTCATCCACATGTTAATATTCAGGTTTTGGTGGATTATGAAGTTTAGCACAGGTCTCATTTGTCTGGTTCCTTCATATTGTCCCAGGAATTTAGAAATCTTAGTATGTAAAAATGATAGTGTGTCATCATGTTGCTGTAAAATTTTATGTAGAAATGTTCACGAGTTGACCATTAGTCTTTGGTGTACGGATTGTGTGTAAACCAGCCATTTCCATGATTCATTGTTTTCTTTTATGTGCTTGAGACAATTTATACTTTTATAGGGCGTAAGGGTTGATTATATATTTATTAGTTTGTCTGCACGTTTACAAAAGTCTTCTGTTGGACCATACTTCTGGATACTTCAATACAGTTTGCATCATTACAATTAGTTTATCCAAGATAAAAAATAACCATTTATTGCCAGTTATATTTTTGTAAAAATTATGAGTGTGCTTTAACCAACAGGGAGTCACTGTCATCAGAGATCCCTGTGTTTCGTGATGTAAATGATTTGTTGGATGATGATGCCAGTGTACTGGCAGAAGAGGATGATGGTGTTGGATGTCCTTTACCAAGTACTCCTGAAGATGAACATCTTTTGGATTGTGAAGTGAGAATGTATTACAAAATTTTTGCTGCTTTCTTTTTCATGTACGAGTAATTACAAGCTGTAGATCATGTATACTACTGGATGTATAATTAGCAGAATGCATGGTGGATGAAATATATGTGCATGTATGGCATTTAGAGGCCACATTAAGCAGTAGTTTCCTCTTTGGCCTTCATTACCATCCTGCTACTATTGGGAACTTTGTTATAAACAAGGTTTTGAAAAAATAATTATTTTCTAAATAAATGTCAAGTAACTTTTTTTTTGTCAGTTTCATATTAACCTTGTGATTTTGTGGACATAAGAATATAATCTCACCTTCCATAGAAATCATAATATTTTCCAGAACTCTTCTGCATATGTCATAAAAGAAGGATCAGTATATGATGTGACTGATGTAGAGTCTTCTTCTTCTTCTATGGCTCTCTGGTCCGTATTCGGTCCATGGCTTCCTCAATTCTCCTCTTCCATTTGGTCCTCTGTTAGGTCCATCTGTCTGAGGCTTTGATTGAGGTTTCGAAACATCTTCCTTTTTACGGTGCAAGATTGTTAGCCTTGTGACAAACCCCCAACCTGGAGGATCAGGGTACCTTTCTTAGTCTGACCTCTCCCCCTCGACCAATCTAGCTAGGGTGGCCCTACCAGTAGCTATGCTACTGCCAGCATAGCTCTTGGGCTCACTGAGGTACTCAAGCCCCACCACCATGACAAGGTGCAGGTACCATTATGTGGGGAATGATGTAGAGTGGTCAGTGAAATATTAAACACTTATACACAGGGTCTGCTGTGTGCCAATTTTCAAATCTTTGTGGTTAGAATTTAAAGGTTTATCATTGTCATTGTCATGAAAATGCTGGTATAATGCTTTAAATTAGATAATATTCACTTCTGTTCACATGCTTTGTGATTCATTATTAAGATACCTACTGCCATTAAATGTTATTGTAGTTGGGAGAGCGCTTGTAAATAAAAACACAGTACAGGAAATCAGTGGTCAGTGAATAGTGATTCAGAGCAGTTATTTGAACTTCTTTGTTACAATTTGGTTAAATGTTTGAAAACTTGCAATACATTACATTGCATTTCAAATTAACTAACTCCGTGCATCAGAATAATTAATCAGAAGCTAATAGTCACTTAGCTAGTCAATAAGCCAACCAGTGGACTTCATCCTGTGCTAGATATGCAATTCTAGTTTGGACCATATTTTGTTGTCCTCTCATGTATGTCTAGGGCTTTCACACAGTCTCTCTTCTTCAGGTTTTGTGACCACAATCTTGTATGCATTTATCATCTCCAGTGCATGCTACGTACCCTGCTGAGTTTTAAATATCTCTATAATTAAGCCTGCAGCTTTCTTATATGTATTAAAATCATTAATAGAGTGATCCTACAATCATGTAAATGCCCCTGCAGTTTAATCAGTCAAGTATTTTCAAATTAAATTACATTAAATCCATCCTCTTGAATGATTGTTATCTATTTCATGACTCATATGTAATTAAATTAACATTTTTTTTTGTACAGATTACAGAAGTATTGAAAGCAGGTGTTTTGTCAGATGAAATAGATCTGGGAGCTTTAGCACATAATGCTGCAGAGCAGGCTGAAGAGTTTGTACGCAAAGTATGGGAGGCATCGTGGAAAGTTTGTCACTTCCGGAACCTGCCTCGCTGGCTCCAGGACAACGACTACCTCCATGCTGGACATCGTCCTCCATTACCAAGTTTCTATGCTTGCTTTAAGAGTATCTTCCGGATTCATACAGAAACTGGAAATATATGGACACATCTCCTTGGTATGTAAAATACGTTGTCCCAAAATAAAAATTGTTCCAGCAATGATAGTAGTATAATGGTAGTGACATCAGTGGTTTATTATTGCTGTCACAGTCCCTGCAATGTTGTACTTAGAGCATATTTATTTGTGAAGTTCAAAATTGGGTGAAAGAACTTTCCGTTATTGCCACCATTCTAATAGAATTTGAGACTCTGTAACATTTAATTTGTATGTAGAAAATAACATATTTTGGATTTTGAAATTTTGTTTATGTTGCTGGTAAATATGAAATATGTAAAAAGTCTCAAGATGCTGTGGGAACTAGAGATATCTGCTTCCTTGCAATAATTGTTTGAGGGGCTCCCTTACCACATCAGTTTAACGAAATTGCAGTAGCCTGTTCTCACTTAGAATGCTCAGTATTTGCCAACAAATTAAAATATTTACAGTGAAGTGGTCTTTCAAGAACCTTCATTAGACATCAGAAAGAAAATGCTGGTTGAAATTGATCAAAATGTGTGTCAAATTTTGAAAATTGTGCTAGAAACTAAAGGACCAAATTTTCTCAACTGTAAACCATTCCAAGTACTGTTGAATGATGAGAATGGTAGGAAATGAAAGTGACAGGAAAAGAGGTATTTAAGTTTAATTGTCTCCAGACTGTGTTGTGTGACAATGATTGGCTGAAATTACTGACAGAAGCAGTTGAATGCTCTTGTCAAACCAAAATAAATCATTTAGTTTATGGTGATCCTGAACATTGTTCTGAAGGATATGATGGCATTTCTGAAGTGGAAGGTGACAGTGATGATGACGACAGATCCTACAAGAATCTGTGCATCTAATTTACAAGTGTGTCTCCATCCATTCTCACACTTCCTCATCCTGAATTTGCTCAGATACTAAGCTATAACTAGCATACATGCTCATGTTTGCAAAAATTAGATGAGAAAGAATAGTATGGTAAAGTTATTGTGTGACCCAAAATTTGGTAGTAATAAGTATGTTCATAACAGTGCATCAGACAGTGTGAATGTTCTCCAGATCTGAATGCTATTAAAAAATGCTAATGCTAATATTAGCTAGAAAGTCCAAGTAAAGCAATGAAGAAGTAATGAGGGTCTCAGATTTAAGAGAACTGATGGCCTTGTGTAGTCGAAGGGATCTTTTCTTTCCAAACTGTTTTCACCCCAAAACTATAAAATGTTCATTTTCACAGGAGTTTACCTCTGCATTACAGGTTGTGTGGCTTTTATTGGGGTGGCAACTTACTTCTTGACACGGCCGAGTATTGAGATACAACTACAAGAGAAACTAGTATTTGCAGCATTCTTTGCTGGTGCTATTCTTTGTCTAGGTTTGTCCTTTGCCTTCCATACAGTTCACTGTCATTCAGAATGTGTTGGCAAACTATTCAGCAAGTAAGTATAAAGGTTGGCTTTTATGTTAGGTCATGCATGTCACTTTGTGTGTGTGCGCGCGCGCTCACTTGCTCGCTCACTCATTCATCCGTCCATGTGTGGGTGTGTGTGAACTCCTTCAAAATTCAGTTACAATATGCAGTAATTATGCTCTACAAGCAGGTCTATTAATATTTTTTTAGAAGTTTCACATTTATCACTAAAATGTGGCTGAAAGAAAGATGTTAGGATTTACTTTTGAAGGGATTCTTGTAATTTCTTCAGTTTGGTTTTATGTGACATAAATGAATTTGGAAAATTTCTAGCAGAATGTTTTGGCAATGTTGAGGTCTTAAGTTCTTAAATTGCTCAGCAAATTTCCTTAAATTCAGTTTGAGGTCAAGTTTAAAAGTCAGTCTTATTGTCACTACTTATTTGCACACATGAACAGTTGTGAAATATAATGATAATATTGATGAACCTTACTTGGCTTTTTATAGAATGGTAGTTTTAGTACATATTGGACAGTCCACTTTGGTAATTCTGACCCTGAAAAGTTCAGTTAATGTAAGTTTTGATTTAATGTAAGGGTGGAGGTATCCTTTACAAAAGTCTTATCTAAAAGTAATTAATAAATTAATATTGGAAACCTTCAGTAGATATGGCAAAAAATATTCTTAGGGTTAAATTTATGATGTTGTTATGTTTAAAAATATCTTTACTTTCATTTCAGACTGGATTATTGTGGCATTGCAATGCTCATTATGGGATCATTTGTTCCGTGGTTGTATTATGGATTTTATTGCCATTTCCAGCCAAAGCTTATCTACCTCAGTGTTGTCATATGTCTTGGAATATCTGCCATAATTGTCTCCCTATGGGATAGGTTCAGTGAGCCCAGGTATCGACCGCTTCGAGCAGGTAAGACTCCATCCAGCATTTCCTGGCATATTTTAAATCAGTTTTCAGACCCCAAATTTGTTAAATCTAATAATCGTAATAATAGTCATAATCATTGTCATTGTGTTGTTCTTATCATCATCATCATCGCTCATGCTGCTGTCTACTGCTTCTGCTGCCACTACCATCATCACGAGGATTGCTGCTATGTATCATAACATTAATTTATGTTATGTTCTTTTATATGCAGATGTATTCTTTCATGCTTTATATGACTAAGGAGGTCTTCATACTTATACTTTAATGCTGTCTGTGTTGTCTATAAACTTTAGTTGCTTTCTGTATGCTCTATGTGCATAACTTTCCTGTAAAGTATTTACAAAAGGGGTTTATAATAGCAACAAAATTACAGACAACTGCTGGTAGAAGTACAATGTTTCCCAGTATAAAGTGTCCTAAGGTATGAACCTCCAAATCATATTGTAAAGTGACATTTGTAGAATATGCTCAAGGAGGGATCCATCATGCTGAAGGCACATTTCAAATTGTTGGCGAAGGTTTTCAAACTTACATAAAAAAGTGTCTATTATTTGCCCTGCAGTGTATGTGTGGTGTTTTCCATTGTCATTAGGTGTTGCTCCTTGCTTCCTTCCTCATCAGCCTGCATGCTGTATGAAATTCTGCCAGAAAGAAAGAAGACATTTTACACAGAAATCTCTCTTGGACATGTTCATTGCAAATTTGTTTATTTTGATCTTTATAAATCATCTGTTGAAGGTTTTTAAAGAGTTTTTACAAACTTTCAACAGATGATGGTAAAAGTCCAAAATAAATAAGTAATGTAATATCTTTGCCAAAGACATTCAGACAAAGAGTAACATTTATTGCACTTCTGCAGTTTCTCAATCCAGTGATAGCACAAAAAATATCTGCTTCCTGGAATATTTAGCAAAATTTGTCATGGATAGACATTCCATAAAGGCAGTTTTTGTTTGGGCTGCTTTTTCTGGTCCTTACTGTATTAACTCATCTACAGCTGTAATGTAATAGATGTAAATGTCTTCTAATTACTCAGTATATTGAGTCATTAGTGTTATGTGGAAAGACATGACTACTGCTGAGGTTAAATTGTTCCATTATATTCTAGGAGTGTTCATGGTGTTTGGACTTAGTGGAGTTGTGCCTGCTGTCCATTATGCCATCTCTGAGGGTTGGTTCAATGCTATATCACGAGCATCTCTTGGTTGGCTTATACTTATGGGCTGTTTATACATCTTAGGAGCAATGTTTTATGCATTGAGGGTCCCTGAGAGATTCTTTCCAGGGAAATGTGACATATGGGTAAGTTTTCACGGCAGAATGATCACTCCACAATATATGTCTTGATCATTACCTTATATTGATATTTATCATTCTATTTATAAGTACAGAATTTAATTCCAATATTGTATTGTCTGTACTTGTTGCATATTTGGCAGAGTAAACAAGCAGTGCAAATTTTAGAGGTTATGAAATATTTGATATAGCTGAGCCGGCCTTATTTATAAACTAAACAATAAACTGGACTGCATTAATTATCTAGGAATATTACTGTTATTAACTACATTTGTAAATAAATTACTGTATCATGATTATATACAGGAAGTCTCATAAGAAAATGAGGAGTTTCTTCATATAATTTTGCATAATCACAATTTAGTGAAAATGTCAGTTTACAGTAAGAAATATCGGGGATTTCATTGTACATGTTTTCACTACAACTTTACTTAATGGTATATGAGAAGTGACAAATACAGCTTAGCCTATAGAATTTGTCTAGTGGCTGTTGTATACTGAATTTTTGTTTAAAATGTGAGATGTGAAATGGATTCTAATTTGCTGGCCTCCACCAGTCCCTGTCCTGGGCCAACAACTGGGCTACCCATTTTAATTATATTGAATATGTTGAATTATTTTTAATAAATTAATTCTACTGGGGTATTTTCTTAGTATGTAAATTCAAGTTCATCTACAATTTTCAGGTAGTATGTTATGCATTTTTCGGTTCACATTGGTTGATAATAGCTCATACTTGGTGTACGTTAATTTTGTTCTGTAGTTTGTAAAATAAATCATTATCAAGCCAGTTTGAATTATAAATTTATCAAAATTGGATAAATCATGTATGGACTTACATACTTACAGGCTTACATACTGGACTTGGAAAAGTTTCTGTGCTATGTATGCTGTGAATTTTAATTTGTTGATGTTACTAATTTACCGATTTCTTGAAACCAGTTTCAGAGCCATCAGATATTCCATGTGCTAGTGATTGCAGCAGCTTTTGTTCATTATCACGGAATATCAGAAATGGCTATGTATAGAATGACTGTTGGTGAATGCACTACTCAAAGTGCTGCAGTCATGGCCTTCTGATGTCATCATGTGGCTGGTATTACTGCTACAGCACTGGGGAAACATAAAACTCTTGTGAAAGTAACTCTGTATGATTATGTACCAAGACAAACTAAACTACTTGAATGACATCAAAATAGCGAACTGAAATCGGTACTACTAGGTGTCTCAATTTTTTCCATCATCTAGTATTTTGAATGGAATGTAACATTTCAGAAAATGGATCTCTCTATGTTTTCAGTTAGAGAGGAACCTAGGTCCTGGCTCTTTCTAACAGATCACCTTTTCATCTGAGGATGGAAACAGATTCAATTTCTGAAATATTGTGATCCATTTGGTATACTGATCAGTGGACAAAGTCCAGAAACCTAGTAATAGTAATTGTAATATTGTACACCAGTATCAGAACCCTGTAAAGTGATTGGTTAACGTAATGAAAGAGACCAGAAAATCTGTTAAAGGTAACATGATGCCATCCAGTGTGAAATTACGTGAAAGAAAGGTACCAATGCCAAAGGTATAACGGGAAAGCTTCAAGTGAACCAGTACTCATGGGTTACTTTGACATAAGAAAGCAACATTTAGATGTGGTTTGAAATATGATGTGAGCAGAAAGTTATATTATGAATGAAATTGTTTTCGTCGTATTGTAAGGAATTACTTTCATGAGTGATGTTCACATCAACAAGAACTGAATCTGTCTGTGTTAATCTGTCAGACCTCACACATCAGTTAGTACATTCAGGTAGCTCTTTGTTGGGAAATATTGAAGTTACACAAAGAAGAAATGAAAACAAACGAGGAATTGAGTTCTTAATATAACTTGCAGAAGGTAGCTGAATTAAAGTACAGTGTGTAAGGATTTGGGTTAAATTTAGTTTAGATAAATATGTTGTTATATATGGATCTAAGAGAGGGAGGAAGTAACAGGAGGATGGAGAAATTACATAATGAGGAGCTTCATAATTTATTCACTTCCATCAGATAGAAATAAATGATCAAATGAAGGAAGATGAAAATAAATCAGAGGACAGGGGGGACATGGGGAAGGTAAGTGTAATAAACAAGTATAGAACTTTAATTACTTAAACAGTAAAATATGGTTAACTGAAGTGCTAGAGAAAAAAATGAAGACTGAATAAAAATGCAGAAACATTTTACCATTTGGTTAGGGACATGAGAAATTTCTATAAAGGGAGACATATGCCTGTTTGACTGTTAATGTATGGAGCAGAAACTGGATGTGGACCAAGGCAGATATTAGTAGACTAATATCAACAGATATGAGATATTTAAGGAGTATAGAAGGAGAAACCAAAAGAGAAAACAAAACAGAAAAGGAGAATATAAAGATAAACATCTTGGGTGGCAAATTAACAAATAATGATAACTGTATGGATGCACTTTATGAATTAAGAGAGAATCCCACAGAAGATTTCAAACATGAGAGCAAAATAAAAATTCCAAAGAGGGAAACCAAGATATGTGGAAATATCTTATGAAACAGAAGATGAAGATGCTAAACTAAATTTGATGAAGAACTAGAAACTCAATTGCCATTGATTATTGGGATCTTAACATGTAAAAGAATTTTTTCTGAATAAATGAAAATGATGTTATTGTTTTAAGAGTTATATTCTTTACAGTTAGACATTAAAATTACAATCCAGTCAGGTGAATTTATTGAAATAAATAAGCATGTCAGTGTACATTTTTATATATAAAGTCAGACAGCTAAAGCAGTATGTAGTATGTCACTTCAGTTTTTTCTGTAAATCACATCATGTCTTCTGGCCATTTTGCATTAAGAAGGCATATTTGGAATCATAAAACACATTTTCAATATCAAAGGAAGGCATACTGGGAAAGAAAGCATCTGAACATTTGAATAGATTTTCAGATCCCAAAATTTGAAAAGTTTCGGTTAATTGATATGTTCTTTGAAGGATGAAGAAAATTTGCATTGAAATTCACTGTGTCTGTGAATAGCATCAACTGATCATGGTTAAGATTATTTCAAAACTATTTTTAAATCATTGCATACAAGTAAAGTTTACTGTAATTTTCTTAAAGTGCTTTGTCTTTCATATAGATTGAGTCAGAACAGTTTGAGCGGAAAGTTGTGTTACCCCAAAACTTACACAGTTTTATAGATCTGAATTTACTTTTGCAGACACTTTCTGCATTGTGTCAGTATAAGCCCCATCATTATCTCAACGTCAGTGAATACATTGTCACATTAATTTTGACATGTCCTGTAATGTCTGTGGAGTTGCAAGGTGGAATGCCACATTTGTCACATCTTTTAATTCTTAAGTTGCCCCATAATATTCAACTTCTGTAATCTCTTCTATGAAATCCCATAAAGCATTGTTGGCGTGGTTGTCAGGTCTACTGTGTGCTAGCCAAAGAAGTGCAGTGATAGATGACTGATAATGTTATTGTGGGAAAATGTCATTAAGCTAAACTGTTGCAGAAAGAAAAAAATCTGTGGGAATGCTGTCTTGCTGGAACCACATGGTTTCTGCAGTCCATGCTTGAGTCATTTGCAGTGTAAGTTGGTTTCTCAACATGGCGTCATTCGCAAGCCTGTCAAAAAATTAGGGACCAAATGTGTGCCTGTTATTCCTGCCCACATCATAATGTGGAGAATTGTGTTCCAGTTTCTCATTTAAGTGGGGCATTGTCTTTAGCCCAGAACACACCATTTCATTGTGAGGAACTTCAGTACATGGTGCATTCATAATGTTTTTTGTAGGTCTGGTTAATGTCTGAAGCATTAATTCACATCAGTGCCATCTTCCCATATCCATGCCACATCATTGTTAACACACACCAGACATTGAATTGGGGTAATGTGACATTCCGCCCACTCTGTAGTTTATATATTGACTGAACTAATAGTAAAAGTGGTCAAAACAAATGCTGATATTGTGGAACGTTGATCTTGTAGAATCTAGCTGAATCTGCTATTTTTGTGAAGGAAAATGGTAAAGGTTGTATAGTGGTTAATAGTGTCCCTGATATCACTTATTATTTAATTATTAACGCTGTCAGATAACAGAGAATTAGAGAACAATGTCATACTGGATCAGTTTTCACTAGTTATAGTGTGTTTACAGCAAATAGATGTAAGTGGTCATGAAATTTGAATGCTGTTGCTTATTTTTGGAAGAAAACTTAAATGTCATTACGGTGTGTCTCTTCTAATATACTAGACATAAAACAAATGGAAGAAATCCTGTGTGTTTATTTTACAGTATTTCATATTTTCGAAGAAGAGTTCTTGCTGTCACATATCTTAAATTGTATTAGTAAAATTGTAGCTTAATTGTTAATAATTTATAAAGTATTGTTCCTTTTTTGTCCATTACTAAAGTATGTATGTAGGTATTTAAAGATAATGATACAGAGAAGCATGGCAAAATTAACTTTCATGGAAGATTCCTGTAACTAGCTTTGATTGGATACTCAGAAAGTAATTCTGGTAGTTCACTGCT